TTATACATTCTACACATATGCATTAGTGCAGTGGTTCTCAAACTGTGGTACATGTACCACTAGTGGTACGTGGGCTTCCTTCTAGTGGTACGCGGATAAATCAAATATGTCATATGTACATGCTACATATATTTAAATAAATTATCAAAAATGCTTTATATATGAATATGATGACATAAAGCCTATATTTATGAGGTCCAGGCAACATTTCCAGGAGCTGATAAACCTTTTTTCTTTTTTCTTTTCTTTTTAAGAACAGTAACCTTTCATTTTTAACTTTTAAAAGCACATTTTAATTTAAATGTTCTTAATTTTAGGAACTAAAATGCCTCGTTTTTGAACTGTACAGAGCTTTAGCTGCTTTACTGGACCTAATACGCTACTGTATTTCAATATTGCTCATTGTGGTGGTACTAGCAAAGACAACTTTTTTCTAAGGTGGTACTTGATGAAAAACGTTTGAGAACCACTGCATTAGTGTATTTTTGGCTGTTCCTACATATATACACTCACTAATCACATTATTAGGTACACCTGTCCAACTGCTTTTTAATGCTAATTTTTAATTATCCAATCACATGGCAGCAACTTGATGCATTTAGGCATGTAGACATGGTCAAGCCCATCTGCTGCAGTTCAAACTGAGCATCAGAAGGGGAAGTAAGGTTGTGGCATAGTTGTTGGTGCAAGGTGAGCTGGTCTGAGTATTTCAGAAACTGCTGATCCACTGGGATTTGCATGCACAACCATCTTTAAGGTTTACAGAGAATAGTCTAAAAAAGAGAAAATATCCAGTGAGAAGCAATTCTGTGGGCGCAAACACCTTGTTGATGCCAGAGGAGAATGGCCAGACTGGTTTGAACTGATAGAAAGGCAACAGTAACTCAAATAACCACCCGATACAACAGAGGTATGCAGAAAAGCATCTCTGAATGCACAACACGTCCAACCTTGAGACAAATTGACTACAGCAGCAAAAAAATCACACTGGGTGCCACTCCTGTCAGCTAAGAACAGGAAACTGAGGATACAATTAGAACAGGCTCACTAAAATTAAACAATAGAAGATTGGAAAAACGTTGCCTGGTTTGATGAGTTTCGATTTCTGCTGCGACATTCAGATGGTAGGGTCAGAATTTGGCATCAACAACATGAAACTATGGATCAGGCTGCGTTCAGGCTGCTGGAGTTAGTGTAATAGTGTTTATTGGCACACTTCGGGCCCATTAGTACCAATTAAGCATCATGTCAATGCTACAGCCTACCTGAGTAATGTGTCTGACCATGTCCATCTCTATTTGACCACAGTATACCCATCTTCTGTTGGCTACTTTCAGGAGGATAACGTGCCATCTCATAAAGCGAGAATCATCTCAGACTGTTTTTTTGAACATGACAATGAGTTCACTGTACTCAAATGGCCTCCACATTCACCAGATCACAATCCAATAGAGCATCTTTGGGATGTGGTGGAACAGGAGATTTGCATCATGGATATGCCGCCAACAAATCTGCAGCAACTGTGTGATGCTATAATTTCAATTTAGACCAAAATCTCTAAGAAATATTTCCTGTACATTTAAAAATTCTGGTAACACTTTACAATAAGGTTCATTAGGTAATGTATTTACTAACATGAACTAATCATGAACAACACTTGTACAGCGTTTATTAATCATAATTGAACATTTACTAATACATTATTAACATTCAAGTCCATGCTTGCTAACATTAGTTAATTCACCATGAGTTAACATGAACTAACAATAAACAACTGTATTTTCATTAACTAACATTTACTAACATGAATAAATACTGTAGTAAATGTATTATTCATTGTTTGTTCATGGTAGTAAATGTATTAATTAACATTAACTAATGAACCTTATTGTAAAGTGTGACCAAAATTCTAATCATGGGTGTATAGAAATAAGTAATCAGACTACACTTATAATTAAGAAAAAAAACTTCTTTGAATGAGACAATGCTGATTTGTGCTGAATTATACAGCATGTTTTGAACAACAAGACTCGCTTTAAATGAGTCACTTTTTCCAGAAACAAATTAAATTTGTGTGTTGGTTTACTAAAAATATATATCTGGAAATCAGTCTGCGTTTGTCACACATCATATTTCTGATTGTTCAAAAAGTATCATCTTATGAGAATCATTTGTTGTGGGAATCAGACTAAATTAGTCATGTTGTAAGTTTCTGATTCACAATCAGGACAAAGCAACTTGAACTAAACGAAAAACTGTCTCCTCCACAGATGCCATCACCACAGTGGACGTGACGGCCAGTCCTCTCATTCCTCTGGTTTCTAAAAGCCTGCAGCTCACCTGTAATGTGAATGGACCCTACATCAATCTTTACTGGCTTCGAAACAACAATAATTTCTTCCCATCAAACAGAATTACGTTTTCTGCTGACAACACCACAGTGACCTTCAGTTCATTGCAAACCACTGATGATGGAAGTTACCAGTGTGTCGCCGCCAATGCAATAAGACATCACGTCAGTAATCCATATAAACTTATGGTCATCTGTGAGTAACACAAGCCATATTTTAATCCCTTTGAAGCAAATCTGACTCAAAATTAGCTTTTATTTTGCCAAACATCAACCTCTGTGTGTTTGCAGATGGACCACAAAGCATGCAGATCACTTTGCATCCTGGGATTCCTCCAGTCCTGACATGTCTAGCGGTATCTCAGCCACCCTCTGTGTATTACTGGATACTCGACAACAACACAGTTGTGGGGGATCAAGCTTCCATTACGATTCCTATTACATCTATCCTGGGCAGCAATTACACCTGTGTGGCCAAAAACCCTCTGACCAACTTGACTCTCTCCATCAGCCAAGTCGTCAGCTGTGAGCATTACTACACATACAGCAGTTAACATGACAAGTAGTTGTTAAAGTGCTCATTAGATGCTTTTTCAGACATTACCTTCCATAGGTTATGCATGAAAGATGTGCAAAGTGCATGATAAAAAAGTTGATGTAAAGTTGAATTGATTCTGAAATGAGTCATCAGGGATTCCATTAGTATAATGTATCTATGTAAATCCGTAACACATGCAAAATGCAAGCCTGTCCTTTTTACGATTGCATTCATTGTCAAGACACAAGACTAAAATCTATGGATATATTTACTGAAGCTGCGAAGTCAGTCTTCTACTTGCATGATATTTAAACTTTAAATATGCGCCATGTAGAGCTTAAAGGTGCGGTAGGTGATCTGCCAAAATGCTAACCGTTAGCAAAATAGCTTTGAAAACACAAGAGCTGCGTCCCAAATGGCACACTATACACTATGCACTCATGCACTATGTACTTATGCACTTACACACTCAACAGAATAGTATATGTATGTAGTGTCGCCCCAGTTGGCACACTGATGTTTTTTTTTCTAAGTGGAAATTCGAACCGTTTCATTGATGACGTTTGACAGTTGCCAATTAAGTGAAATAAACAACCGAATTATCAAATAATACCGGCCGTGAGTATAACCGCATTCACCATTGGGAGGCGCTATAATCACTCTCGTAGGAGAATTTTGCTTTCACCATCCAAAACAAATAAAGTTATCTAACATGTGCGCCCCATAGCTCCGACCCTTCCGCTACGTGAGCAAACCTGTGGTCGTTGAGTGCGTGAAGTGTCCATCATTACACACTTCATTTTAACGGCTGAATGAGTGCATCATCCGGGTAATTAAAGTGCACTTATTATTTTTAGAGTTTTCAGTGTGAACACACTACTTACACTATTTATACTACAAAATGGCGTAGAATAGTGCATACGTATGCGATTTGCGACGCAGCTAATCCCTCCCCTGCCATCCAAAGTCACACCTCCTGAAATCAAGAACTTGCACCGTAAAAAATGACAGTAGACAACTCATTATATTATGTTATTCGCCAGTTTGAAAACTTCATAGTACTTTATAATACTACAATTCTGAATTGGAAAAACTGCATTATATCTACTTAAATCATCAAATAAATCATTTGAGACTCTAAAAAATTAGGTAATTTTAAATGTATATTATGAAGAATTGACTGTGTTTTTGACCTTTATTGCATATAAATCTATTGTAGGAGACCTCCAAAACAAAATGAGGAGCATTTTAAAATGACATAATAGGAGCACTTTAAATGATTGTCATTTCACAGACTGTTTCTTGAAGTAATGAATCACAATGTTCTCTGTCTTTACCACAGATCCCAACGCAGCTGACAGATTCCAGGCCAGTCATATGCTGATGGGCCTCCTCGTTCTGCTGTTCTCTTTACTACAGGAATGGCTGTAATTCTGAGACTGCTCTCAGGCCTATATATGAGGACTAACTGTCTGAATGAGGCTTGTAGGTATTTATCCCTTAACAGCGAAAAATAAATAATTACTCCAACCTATGAGGCAATCATAGTTCAGATTAGCTGAACTGCATCTTAATTCTAAAACATTTAAACATTATTTACAGACATGCAGAGTAATTATTAACTGAACACATTTGGCAAACATAAACCAACATACTGCATTATTTTTTTATATATTTATTTCTAAGAACTATAAGTGATCAGTTATTTAACTTGGTACTCTAATTTTATTCATTTGTGAAAAGCTGAACTTTAGAGAGGCTGGCTTATTTCAGTTTGTAGTTTTTTGTTTGGAAAAGCCAACATCTGATTTAAGCAAATGACTTACCTGAATGAGCAACTATCCTAGCTACCTTTCTGCTTCACTGTTGTTTCTCATATCTTGGAATCAAAAAATCTTTTCTCAAAGAAATATAATGCAAAGTGTTTAAGTATATTCAAAATGATTATTCCGAAGATCAAAAAATGTGAAATGTCATATATTTTCATTAATAAAATTAAATAAAAGCACATTATTCAAATGAACTGCTCTTTTTTACCAGCATGTTTTATTTTTAATTCATTTAAACGTCTTTATCCAATATATAACTTTTTAAAATCTGAAGTTAGAAAACTGGACTGAATAAATGTTACATAATAATACAGATACAAAAATAGTTGAGTATACACGACTTCAGTATGCACTGCTATAGGTATTGTGTAAAAGATACATAGCTTTCTGTGTGCCAGTGAATGCCAGAAGGTCTTATATTGGCAAACTGGCTCCTTTGGCGATCTTCTTGTTTGCACCAATCAACTGCAGGCATTTTCTAAATGTCTTAATCCTCTTCTTTAAGCACATGTTTTTCTGCTCTGGGCTGAGGGTTGGTCCTGAAAATAAAGATTAAATAATAAATAAAAATCTTATTTCAATACTGGCTGTTCGTTTCATAATAATACACATAAACACGAAGATATAAAGATTTATTTATTGCAATGTTGCCATAGAAGAACTCCCAGCTTATCAGTGAAAACCCTTCAGTTAAAATGAACCAGTTTCTGTAAAGATTTGAATAACCTATATAACCCTTTTTTTTACAAAGAACAATTTTTTTGCAAAATCAGAGCAAAAAAACTTTATTATTAATATAGTATCATTTGCAGCTAGTTTATTTATTCTTTTCCTAATAATACTTGTTTAAAAAAATGTGAAACTTATATTAGTTAGGCTAGCAGTGTTTGTTTGGAATTGAATTGACTAATTGAGAATAGCAGATGGAAGGGCATCTGCTGTGTATAATCATGTGCTGGATAAGTTGGCAGGTTATTCCGCTGCATGTGGCAACTTCGGATTAATAAAGTGAATAAGCTGAAAAGAAAATGAATGAATGAAATAATTGAGAATTATGAATTGGTTTTTATGCAAATTTTTGGTAAGGGTAACCTTATTTATTAAAATACAGGTTATAATGGGTCTAAAACCTTTTTGGCTGGCCAAGTAGAAATCAAAAACCACTTGTTCAGTCCTTATTATTTAACGGTACAAAAGGTACAGCTCAATGTGACTTAATAGAAATATCCTTGCCAGTATAGTAGTGATACTGACCTTTATTCAATAAAAAAGAAAAAAGACTAACCTGCCTTTAACTGGGTAAAAACATGAATCATCAAAATATTCACAAATCACATATTTGTCTGTATAATAAAAAACGATTAATTATACCTGACCTTAAAGCATTATAGTAAATATAACAAGCAAAGGAAGTGACCATTTAATGCATCATTTTCCTTATCACACCCTTAGCCAGGGGAGGTTTGGGTGGTTCGAAAGACTCACCTCCCACTGACAAAGATCCAGAATTTGCCCAATACATGAGCTCATTTGTCCTATTTTGACTACTATGCCATAATCAATTGTGGAAATAACCTATCGAAGACTTGAAGACCAGGCAGAATCAAATGTAAGTAAAATCAGCTTTCACTACTGACCTGCTCTATTGTTAAATACAGAAAACATGGTAACACTTTACAATAAGGTTCATTAGTTAATGCATTTATTAACATAAACTAATCATGAACAACACTTGTACAGCATTAATTAATCATAATTGAACATTTACTAATGCATTATTAACATTCAAGTCTGTGCTTGTTAACATTAGCTAATGCACCATGAGTTAACATGAACTAACAATGAACTATTATATTTTCATTAACTAACGTTAACTAACATGAACCAATAAAGTAGTAAATGTATCGTTCATTGTTTGTTCATGTTAGAAAATGCATTAATAAACATTAACTAATGAACGAACCTTATTGTAAAGTGTGACCGAAAACATTTTACAAAGAACTTTTATTCTAAATCTTGGAACTTATTCTTGAAAGAAAAAATAATCAATGAAAATATGCAAAGCACGAAAAGCGGCCTATATTAAAGTTAATTTTAATACTAATTAGGCTTTTGTTGTTATCCATGAATTTTCCAATTTACTTCTTTACAAGAGAGGCTAGAAAAAAATAATGAAGTTCTACATCATTAAAATGATGTTTTAATTTTTTTATTTTTTTTATTGAAATGGCCAAATTCTAACTGAGGAAAAAAGTTGATTGTGCTGTCCAGTTTGTTATTTGCCTAATAAATAGCAATAGACTACAATTTTTTTTTCTGAATGATATATTTATTCATTCATTTTCTTTTTGGTTTAGTCCCTTTATCAATCAGGGGTCGCCACAGCAGAATGAACCACAAACTTATCCAGCCTATGTTTTACGCAGCTCATACCACTCCAGCCGCAACCAAACACTGGGAAACACCCATACACACTCATTCACACACATATACTATGGCCAATTTAGCTTATTCAATTCATCTATAGCGCATGTCTTTGCACTGTGGGGGAAACGGGAGCCTGAATGATATATAATGTAATAAATTTGTATTTAAAAAAAAAAAAAAATATATATATATATATATATATATATATATATATATATATATATATATATATATATATATATATATATATATATATATATATGATTCTAAATCTTTAGAAAATATTTTTGGTTTGATTACCATCCAACAAGCTAATCTAGCTAAAAATAGTGCTTAAAATGTTACTAAATGGAGTATTTAAACCTCATAATTACATACCAAATGGGGCGAAAAATCATTTTCACACGCCTGATTTTTTATGCAGATTTTTATAAGGCTGTTTGTTGTACATTTACTTACCAAACAGACAGATATCTTGGTAAAAGCATCTTGTTTGACTTACTAGATTTATGTGGCATCTCACAGACACAGTTCCGATCCAGAGCAGTTCCCCTCACTACACAAAACAACACATCAGTCAGAAAGAAAGGACTCTCATTTTACATTATAAGCACTTGAATGTCTCACAACACTTTAAGCAGCACATTAGGGCTTCTTGTTTTCTTTTTTGATGACAGGAGAAAGTACTTCACCACTTACCTTGGCAGTTGCATTTCCTAGGCATAGCATGGCCTTTGACCTCTGCAGATTTGTCTGACTTTCCCTCTTGAGGTCGTGCTGCATAAAACAGAAATTGTATTAGAAAAAAGAATGATAATAGTATTAATAATGAATTCAAAATATTATGAGAATTAGAAATATTTCTTTGGCATATACGATACAGTGCTGAGCATATGAGTACGTCCCTCACAAATCTCTCTTTTAAATTCGTATTTTAATAGGAAGCTATACAATATTATCTTTGTGCATATACATTAGATTAGTCAGTACTGAAGCCAAATCTGGAGCTCATCTAACAAAATACCTTATGATAACAGTTCAAAAATAGTACACCAAAATGTCTATGTTTTAGAAAAAATTAAATACAAATTTAAAAAAAGAGGACAAATCAAAGCAAATATGAAAAATGTTGTTGAAATTTATAGGTTGTATTATTATTATTATTTATTTTATTTTTTTGCTATATTTTCCTAGAGTTCAATTGTATTATATTTCAATTTCTAAACATGTTTGGTGAATAAAATATTATTTTAACAAACATATCTTAACAAACATGTTTAATAAATTTATTTTGTTTAAATGCACCAAAATTCATGTCCTGTATTAACTGCATATTGGATAAATTATTCATTTTCGAAATGAGGTGTACTGGGATGGGAAAAAAAGAAACTTTTTATTCACATACAGCCCCCTGAATTATTTGCCCCCCATTAATTTTTTTCCCAATTTCTGTTTAACGGAGAGAAGATTTTTTCAACACATTTCTAAACATAATAGTTTTAATAACTCATTTCTAGTAACTAATTTATTATATATTTGCCATGATGACAGTAAATAATATCTTAGATATTTTTCAAGACACTTTATACAGCTTACAGTGACATTTAAAGGCTTAACTAGGTTAATTTGGTTAACTAGGCAGGTTAGAGTAATTAGGCAAGTTATTGTATAAAGAGGGTTTCTTCTGTAGACTATCGGAAAAAATAGCTTAAAGGGGCTAATAATTTTGTCCTTAAAATGGTGTTTAAAAAATTTATAACTTCTTTTATTCTAGCCAAAGTAAAACAAATAAGATTTTTTGCAGAAGAATAAATATCATCAGACATACTGTGAACATTTCCTTGCTCCGCTAAACATAATTTGGGAAAAATTTTAAAAAGAAAAACAAATTCAAAGGGGGGCTAATAATTCTGACTTTAACTGTCCTTCAACTTTATTTCAGATTATTTATGTATATTTATATTAACACATAACCATGCACAATGCTAAATTTTGTAGATATGTTTTTTCAGAATTAATTGTAACATGTTGATTTGCTGCTATATTGTTTTCACTGTTGCTTGATCTTTAATAATAATTCACAGTAAAATGCTGGAAGAGCACAAATATTAGCTGGAAGAGCAAATATATAGAGAGGAGAGTAAATAGCTGGAAGAGCAAATATATTATATAGATATATTATATAGATATAACTATGTAAATATAATATAAATATACAGTTTATTAATTCATTAAAAAAAAAATTTCGGCATCGTCTCTTTATTAATTAGGTGTCGCCACAACGTAAATGAATCCCCAACTAATCCAGCATACAGTATGTTTTACACAGCGGATGCCCTTTTAGCTGCAACCCGTCACTGGGAAAAACACATACACTCGCATTCACACAAATACACTACAAACAAATTTAGCCTACCCAATTCACCTATATAGCGCATATCTTTACAGTTGTGTGGGAACTGTAAAGACAGGAAACCCACACAAACACAGAGAACATGCAAACTCCACACAGAAATGCCATCTGACCCAGCCAAGGCTCGAACCAGTGACCTTCTTGCTGTGAGGTGGCAACGCTAATTTGACTCAACTTTATAATTGATGTAAATTATATGGGGCGGCTCCGGTTTCCCCCACAAGTCCAAGAACATGCGCTATATGAATTGGGTAAGCTGAATTGTCTGTAGTGTATGTGTGTTAAGGGGAGTGTATGGGTGTTTCCCAGTGATGAATTGCAGTTGGGAGGGCATCCGCTGCATAAAACATACGCTGGATAAGTTGGCGGTTCATTACACTGTGGCAATCCCTGATTAATAAAGGGACTAAGCCGAAAAAAAAAAAAGTATGAATGAACAAAATTATTTTAGTTTCAGTTTGTAAGACAGTCGAAGCAAAACATATTCTTTCAAAATGTTAAATTAGTTTTTTTTTTTTTTTTTATGTTGACTAAACACATTTATAGCAAATATTATAATCTTATTTTAAGTTTTCAAATTTGGACATACTAAAAAGAATTTAAAAATTTTATTTGATTAAATAATTTTATTTGTTTATTGAGCATTTTTTGAATACTTATCTGCCACTAAACACTTGATTATTAAAGCTAAAATTTTAATTTTAAATAAAGTTTGAGTTATTTTAAATTAAAATAATATTTTACAATAATACTTTATCACATAAATACAGCCTTCATAAGCATAACTTCTTTCAAAAAAGTAAAATAATAATAATAATAATAATATTTTTCTTAACTTTTCACTAATAATAATATTAATATAAATTCAGCAAAAATGTTTACCTTCACACTGGATGTTAGTGACAATCATCACAGCAAAAGCCAGCACAAGTATCTGGAAGTTCATGGTTTTCATCGGCAATCAGAATCAAAATGAGACAAACTGTCTAAAAGTCGACTTTTAAGTCTTCAGTGTTCAGATCTACAGTTTCAGTATTTATATGACAAAGCTCTGATATCTGAGTCTCAAAAGTCACGTCTGATAATGCCTCAACTTGCCGGATAGACTTTTAGAAATGAAGTGTAAAAGAAATGTTGACAGTATTTCTCATTTGCTGAGAACTGTCAAGATCTGTGATAAGAGCTGCGTGCAATTTGGGAAGGAGAAAGAGATTATTTTACTGAATTTCAATGTCTCTTTTGTAATTCAAACTGTGGTAAGCCCTCACACAATTTGTCCTCACTTTTAACATATCACATTTACAATTCACTTCAGTTCAAAGCGCAGATATTTGGTCCAAGACCAAATGTTCCACATGAATCTGAAAGATCAGATTTCACTAGACCTTAGAAGAAATAAATCATCCATTCTTACATCTAATAACATATTATGCTGCAATTTTGTCATGGAAAAAACATGACAGATGTTCTTGTGAACAAGCACCTGGAGGTCTGGGTCACATTTGATGAACAACTTGTGAACCATTAAAGGAAATTCCTTACCAGCTAAAAGATATCAAGCATGTACCCCATAATCAATCCTGTATTCACTCAGATTCAATAAACTGTAAAAACATGCAGGTCTGACAAGAAATCATTGTATAAATGCTGTATTAAAATAAGGGAAACATTTTTGAAAAAAGGAAAATAGATCTTGTGGAGCTCTGACCTGAACTCAACTCCTTTCCCAAGTCGGCCTAAATTAAATAGTTTAAAAACATGTTAATCAAGTGAAAAATATCATCTAACATGATGAAAAAAGACAAACACAAGACTAACAGCCTCATTCAACATGATAGACCCTTAAGGCAATAATGTGTCCAATGAAAATAAAACTGGGCACAATATTGATCCCTGAAGAACACCAGAAGTCAAAAAGGCAGAAGAGGAAAAGACGATACCAACCACAACTGAGAAACTCATTTATTTTCTTGTCGGCTTAATCCCTTTTTTAATCCGGGGTCACCACAGTTGAATGAACAGCCAACTTATCCAGCACGTTTTTACACAGCGGATGCCCTTCCAGTCGCAACCCATCTCTGGGACGCATCCACACACACACACACTCATAGCCTATGGAAAATTTAGCCTACCCTATTCACCTGTACCACATCTTGTACAGGTCTTCGTCTTTGAACTGTGAGGGAAACCGGAGCACCCAGGGGAAACGCACGCAGACACAGAAACACCAACGGAGCTGAGGCTCAAACCAGCGACCTTCTTGCTGTGAGGCGACAGCACTACCTGCGCCACTGCGTCACCCTAACTGAGAAACTACAACAGATAAATACGATTTACAATTGCTAAAATATGCCAATCTCCCTTACAATAACCTTTGCATATATTTCCACAACATATTTTAGATTCTAATACCTGACGTCTAGACAGAATAAGTGACCCTGTCAGTAAAGTTTAAAGCCAGAAAATTTGCTTTTTACATCACGCCTGGATTAAAGTTAATATAGCTTTTTTGAGGTTACATCCATGAATTTGAGCACTGTGTAAAAACACAGCTCAGTTTAATGCTTTTTACTACGTGATCATATGTTCTGCTGAAAACAAAGTCCAAATACAGCCCAAAACAAAATTTCAAGTGAGTAATCTGTTAAATGTTGCTGTGCTTGACCCTTCTGGAATGATTACTGCAAACAACATCTCCTATGATCGGTGGCGGAGTGAGACTCCCATTCAGCCCTGAAGTTTCAAGCCTTAGACCGGCCTACCTCAGTGCAATATCGGAGTATATATTCTGTGCTTAATTTTTTATAGATATCCAGTCCTTGGTAACGGCGGTCACACAAAAAATAAAAATAAAATATGTACACCTACATATGTAACACAAACAGTATTATATGTCTTAACACTATAAATGAAAAAAACAACAACAACAACTTAGAACTCAGGTCAGCGCTGTCATAACGCAATGTGCTGACCACTAGACCACAATGTTATGCCAGAATGTTCGGAAAATAAGTATTTCACTATTCTCTGCAAGATTCTCAACCACAGTGTTACTTTCTATTGATGGCTTAATCTTTTTCTCCCCTTTTTAGATTTTTGATCAAGTTATGTCAGATTTCTCAGGGCCTACTCACACTATGCCATCCGTACCTTGCCCAGGCCCGTTTCCCGGATCGTTTGAGAAGTGTGAGTGCTCTGAATCGGGCTCAAGCACGGTTCACTTGGCCGGCCCTGGCCCGGTTGGAAGAGGTGTGCCTGAGCCCGGTTCACTTGGGCTTTGGCGCAGTACGCTTGTGTGTGAGAGCAAAACACGCCAAAGCCTGAAACTGAAAGCGAGACGTGACTTTTAAGGGACTGTTTCATATGGATTTATTAATCATTCTTACTGTTCAGAGAACGCAAACTGCCGTCGCAAACTCCTCACTTCACGACAGCTGCGCGCCTTCAGCAGACCTCCTCATTCCTGCAGCACGAGGGCTTTATGATTGTTTATGAGCGCCAAAAGTGGCGGATCTGTTTGGCGAATTATCTGACTGCGTGTCCCTGCATCCCTAAGGACTGTTTGGCGAAATATTTGACAGCATATCAAACGACTGAAACGATATAACTAGAAAAAATCTCCACTGTGCTGCTGAGTGAGAGAGCGCTTCTCAATGAACAGCCCAGCAGCGATGACGTAAGCGTGCCGAAGCCCGTTTGTGGTGTGAGCGCGGGTCGTCGGGGGAGACGGGAGGGGGGACAAGCGTGCTTTGGCCCGGTTCGAGGCAACTGTACCTAGTGTGAGTACGGCCTTAATGTAGTGAATCATCTGATTTTCATTAAGCAGGTGTAATATTAATTAATATTAATTATTCAAATTCTTTTATTCACTAAGGTGCCGCTGTTTGGGGTCAGATGATAGTTACATCATCATTAACCTGCAGGCTGCATTTTACTCATGGGGCTGCGAGAAAATAAAAGAAGCAGAGCTGCAGCAAAATAATGAATAAAAAGAGTGAGGCTAAGGTAAAATAAATACATGAAAAAAGTGTGAGTGCTGAGAGTGCAAGCAGCTAGGGACACCGGCCCACAAAATTCTCCCGGTCCTCCCGATAAGCGAATCTGGGCCTGCATTTGAAGTATGAGCTAGCGATGATATATGATGATGACTTGAAATGGTGTCCCATTTCTTAGAGCGTATATTTTCGGCCCTACCCCATCACACTCTGTACTAAGAAGAAGGTATAGGTGTACGCCAGACATATGAGTATAATACAGAATTGGGATTTGTCCTGTTGCAACATTGGCTCTGTAATAAGATGCATATCACATCAGAATCAGATATAAGATCACACATTCCTATTGGTTACATGATTCAATCCAAGGCTGAGGCTACCTTTTATTGTGTTCATCAACAATGGTTGCAAAAAACAGGCTGGCTGCAATAGAAAACATGTTGTGTTGTGCAGTAGGATGCCAAAGTCCAAAAATAGAAAACTTAACTTTTACCATACACCACACTGCTTTAATGCCAACTGCAGACGTCTTTGGCTAAAAGTTAGCTGAATTAAGTGACGGCCTAATTAGAAATGCTGGACTCTGCAGTTCTCGTGTTATATCAGGTAAGTTCACGTTATGCTGAATCATAAACATTTCTCGTTTTTGATTGCAGCAATTTCAGCAAAAACAGTTACATGTGGTTAATTAAACTGCGGAAACTGAATGCTAAGAATGAAACGTGAAAGTTATTAAGGTAAAGTTGGTTTTATATTCACACATTCATTCAGTAAAAACTTGTGATGCACTCCCTATATTGTTTACCACGGCACTTTGAATATTGGTCTGAAATAACCTGCAAGTGTGACTTGAAAACAACATTAACAGTTTTTTCTTAGTAGTCATTGGCTGCTAATATGATTTCGCTATTTAGAGTTTGCAAATAATACTTTTATGAAATTATATTATAATATAATAATTAAGGGGGGGCTTTAGATTATGAGCTTTGGCCTAAACCTTTAGTTTTTATGTTAGGTCCTTTAAAGGACCTTTAAAGTAATTAAATCTTTTGGAGAACTGTAAGGTAGTCAAAAAAGATCTGGCATGGATCTACTTCAACACACTTACCTGTAGGTTACAAACAAGCCAGAAGCACTCAATTAGTTTGATCAGGAGTTTGAACTGTCTTTAAATAGGGTGTAAACCAAACCTGCAATTCTCAATCCTGGTCAGGTTTGTTCCATTTAAGGGCCCTGCTAAATGGACATGACTGGATATTATGCCAGGATTCCAGATTGAATGTGTGTTCAATTCAACGTGTGCAAGATATGACTTCGATGCTAATCACATGATTACAGATGAAAAATGCAGCAAACAGTTGTGTAGAGCTATTTTTTTTTTTAAATGAAGCAATGTAGTTCAACCGATTTCCTGTGTGGAGAGGGAAGAGAGCAGTGAACACTATAGAGAACATGCCAATAAACACTTTTCACACTGTTGACGCATGTAACGATCATCAGCATCTTAAATCCTCGACAGTTTTAAATAACACCATCGTGGAGTTTTTTTTTTTTTTTAATTATCATTATTGCAGCCATTAGGATTGTAAAAAACAAATATTTGTTGTACTCTCCCATTCACTGCATTCAAGTTTACCCAAATATGACGACTTCAGCTACTGCAAAACCCGCGAATGTGAAAAGGGTCCATCTCAGCACATTTCCTTCATGGCTCTTTTTTTCTAATGAGCTGCCTAAAGAAAAAAAAAAAAAAGAGCAAAAAAGTAGCGCGGGGTGGGGCCGCAAAGACCAGGATCAAGAACCACTGAGCTAAATTGTGAAGACCTGTGGACCTTCAAGATCAACATCTCTGCCTTATAATATAAGAATATTCATCATCCATCAGAATTGTAACCCTGGACCACAAAATCAGCCATATGTGCTTTTTAAGTTAAGATTTAGAAATCATCTGAAAGCTGAATAAGTTTTCCATTGATTTATAATTTGTAGGGATATTTGGTCGAGATATAACTATTTAATAATCTTGAATTTGAGGGGTCAAATATTTAGAAAGCCACCTTTCAAGTTGTCCATATGAAGTGCTTAGCGATGCATATTGCCACACTGCAAATTGAGTTTTGATGCAGTTACTGTAAAAACATCTAAATATTGATCATTTCCCAAAAATAGTCATAAAACTAGTTTTGCTATCTAGGCAGGGTTACAACAGGCTGAAACAGGCCTTTTGTATAATTAACAATATTAATAATTATAATAGTTGTAAATACTTTTTTTTAACATAATAATTTCAACCCCCATCAATGCATAGACCGAACAAAGTTTTGAAAAAGACAAATGTTGCAGAAATCCTCTTGACTGCTGCGTGGGTTATTCACAATTGCAGACACCGTGAATTTATTGCTCTGTTATTAATAACATTTATTAAACCCATAAACACCACATAATTTCAAGTTAAGCCCTAGTCCTGCCTTGTGAATATTTACACAGCTTGTCTATAAAGATATAAATGCTTGTGGGCAGACTGTCTGTTGTTGAATATCAGAACAAAGTACTTTATTGCAGAGAATCAGTTTTTATAGATTTGAACTGTAGGCCAACCTCAAAATCTTGAAGTGGGTTTTCAAAACACATATAACCAAGAGAAACTTATTCTACCTGCAAATCTACCTGTTATATGCTGATATGCTAGATGTATAATGTGATGGACTTTAGAGTGTCTAACACTTGACACTGGCTGATTTATAGATGTCCTGAAACTGTAATTTTACCTTTGACAGTCTGAATCACAGCCTGACATCATGTGTCATCTGACACTCTTTTGTGTATACCAATGACATGCCCAAGCCAGTTTCCTGAGGCTTATCAGATTATGGGCATCAAGAGTTACTTAACTTTATTTGTGCAGTGAAACAATGTCAAAAATCAACTGACTTCAAATCACACAGCCTAAGGAGACTGACTGTTCTCAGCATAACAGACCCTTCTGAAAATAAGCTTTCTGAAAACTAATTTGAATTTACTTTCTTAGTTTCCTAAATTTACTCGATTTATCTAATTCAAACTATTGATAACAATTCAATTAAATGGTCTATTAGTTTATCTATTTTCTAACATGAACAAAAGATTAGTAATACATTTATTACTGTATTTATTCATATTCGTTAACATTAATGTAATTTAAGTTAAATAACATTAGTTCATGTTAACTCCTAGTGCATTAACTAATGTTAACAAGCATGATTTGGCTGTTACCAATGCATTAATTAATGTTGAACTATGCTTAATAAAGTTAATGTTAGTAAATACAATAACTAATGGATCATTAAGTGTTACCTATGTATTTAGAGGTCAGTTGCTTGTTTTGTAATGTTTTAGGCATTTGTAATGTTAAAATATATTTTAAATGAACCCAAATTAAAATAAAAAAATAATTTAAGATTATATATAAACATGATTTGCACAAATATCAAGCAGCATAATTTTTATTATTTTTTTTAACAATGATAAAAAATAGCATTGATTAAGCATAATAAGAATAACTTAAAAAAATAAGGTCAATAAACTTGGTGTGATTCTAGAGTCAGATTTGAATTTCAATAGTCATGTCAAAGCAGTCACTAAATCGGCATACCATCCTCTCAAAGACATTGCAAGTATTAGTTGCTTTGTTTCCAATGAGGACTTGTTCAAGCTTTTATCAGCAGCAGGGTGGATTACTGTAATAGACTCCTCACTAGCCTTTCCAAGCAGACAATCAGACAGTTGCAGCTTATCCAGAACGCTGCTGCCAGGATTCTGTCTAGAACCAGACAATCAGAGCACATCACACCTGTCCTTGGGTCTTTACACTGCCTCCCAGTTACATTCAGAATTTTAAAGTATTACTTTTTGTCTATAAATCACTAAATAGCCTATAGGACCTCAATACATTACAGATATGCTCACTGAATACAAACCTCAGATCATTAGGATCAAGTAAATTAGAAATTCCAAGGGTTGAGTCAAAGCAGAGTGAATCAGCCTTCATCCACTATGCCCCCTGCTGCTGGAATCATCTTACAGAAATGATGTGCTCCATCATTAGGTACAAATCAAGACTAAAAAAAAAACATCTCTTTAGCTGTGACTTTATTAAATGACCACTGTGCTATGTCCGACCTATCACACTAATATGTCTTTCTTTTCTTTTTCATTGAAATGTTAGCTTTGCTTCAGGAATAAATATAAATTCTTCTTTTTTTAAGGCCATTAAATAATCAGAAACCAATGTTTCACAACTGTCCCAAGACAAAATGGGTGTTTTTCGGACAACTTTGATATGAGTTTTGATCGATATATCTATCAATCTATCTTCATATTTTGTGTGTTTTAAGTTTAAAGTGATTTAAAGATTTTTCTAACAAAAAAAGCAATCTTTGAGAACTCCCAAACATCTGGACAGTCCAGTATATTTGAGTAAATACAATGAAAGTATATTAAACGAACTTAATTTCTGTCCTTTCAAACGTTTTCATATTTTTAACTTGTTTGTTTATAAACTATGTAGTGAACTCATAACCTAAATGTGATAAAGGAAAGTTTTTCGAAAGAAATTCCAAATCAATACATTTAATTTGTTTCTTAAGGTTTATTCCACCATTTAACATGACAATTGTTTATCGCAGCACCAGCCATGACATGTAACCCCTCAGACTGGAATCTCAACACCATGAGGAAACAATTCCTGGAATCACACAAGGCTCCTTGAGGATGACGACGTTCACAAGACACAAGTACAAATACAAGGATAAAGCAGCAGCAGAATCACACATTTAACCACATTCGACACCATTTGAACGTGATGACTGGTTGACTGTAATACATACAGCAATAAAAACAAAGACAGCAATCGGCCACTTATGATTTAAATTCTCTGCTTTTTAGCAGCTTGAGTCATGCACAGACCACCAACACCCAATCCTGGTCTTTAGTTATGAGATTTTAAGACTTCATCCATAGTGTGAATATTTCAGACACTCTTGGTGGCAAAAGTACAGAACTTAAAACATTCTGGAACAAAACACTAAATTAACTAAAGAGATATAAACCGGACATGCACGAAAGAGAGAATTCATTTCGAAAATACTGTACAGAAATAAATGAAACTAATTCAATGTTCATCACAAAGAATCTCCAGCAAAGAGCAAAAGGTTAAACTGTAGGGAATCATTTTAAAAGGGTAGTTCACCAAGAAATGAACATGTTCTTACTATTTACTCACCCTCAAGTGCTTACAAACCTTTATAATAATTTCTTTATTCTGCTGGACACAAAAGAAAATATTTTAAAGAAAGCTCAAAATCAACTTCAATAGTACGAAAAATATATACTAAAGAAGTCAGTTGTCATTCTTCAAAATATCTTCTTTAGTGTTCAACAGAAGAAAGAAACACATGAAGATTATAAACAAGTAGAGTGAGTAAAAAAATGGCAAAAGTTTCTTTTTTTGGATGAACTATCCTTTTCATCACAAGCGCATCATCACATGAGTCATCTACTCTTTTCTTAGAAGAGAGCCTATGGGCATGTAAAGATCCAATACTGGCCAACAAAAGCAAAATAGCCCGTATTGTTCCTTTCAACAAATAAACAAATGGTTGTCAGCCTCTGAAGGGCAGTAATGTCTGCTGTTGTTTCCTACACAAAAAGCTCAAGAAGTTCTTCCGTCAATCCAAGTCATTGTGTCATCGAGTTCAATATTACACTGCAAAATACACGACTATATTGTTACTTTTTTGTTTATACAAGCACAGGCTTTGGAATGTAGTATCCATTTTGTGTAAAGAAATTAGTTTACCAAAAAAAAGGAATTTTTAACTTACCCTCATGTTGTTCCAAACCTCTATGACTATTTATTTTGTCTGACTAAATAACCTTTTTTGTTTTGGGTCAATGTTTGGTCGATTCTCCAAAGAAAAACTCATCATACAATATTTGGAATGGCATGAGAAATAACATGATATATTTCTTATATTTAGAAGAGTTCTCCTGTTATGTACCTTAATAAAGAATAGCATAATTGTAGTGACCATAAAGCAGTAACGCACACTGACGGAAAGCATGTGATGTATGTTTATGTGTATTAAACAGTCATGGGTTTTCCTGAGGGTGTTTGTATCTCGAGAAGGCTCTGCTTGTAGAGCATAAAGGATGAGACATCTGTCGTCACACAGGAAAGGCTGTTTTATGCTGTATTTAGTGTGTTCAGGGAGCGTGTTTTTCTAACAGGGATTTAAGGTGTTCGTGTAAAGGCTCACAGACCCTCTGGTAGGCATGAGGCGTGAGGTGCAGGTAATCATACATGTCCTGGTGTGCGATGGAGCCGTCTGAGTGAACGAACCCTGGGTCCATGTTCAGGAAGGAGACGTGAGACAGAGATGCTACCTCAGCTTGGACTAAAGCATTTACACTGGCGTTACGCTCGCGGAGAGGGTTTGGGCTTTTACCTCTCGGCAGTAACCCCTAGTGGAGAAAAAGAAGAGTATTACATTCCATTATATCCAACACGTTTGATCCATTTATGACAAACATTGCTTAATGTTGATGAAAAAAATGAATAATGAACATTGACAAAATAGAAAAAACATTTTTTTTCCCCAATAAATAAATAAAATGAGTCACAAAAAGGTTATATGTTAAAAATGATGGTATAAACACTAATATTTATAAATAAAGATTTTATGCTTTTATTAGTTTTTATGCCAATCAATGACCAACGGAATACTTTCAGTGCTTCGAATAGTTTGTAAAGCCTGGCTCATTGAGGTCAAAGTAGTTGATTAAATTAATAAAAGTGAAACTGACGGGCACAATATATATATAGTCATTAACAGAAAATTATTTAGCCTAATTTAGACTACTCTGAAATTGTGAATACTTCACTGTAATTTTATTTATATCAATATTTTATTTAAGAGAGCAGCTTGTATTTTGATTAGGGTCAATAGATGTAGCCTATTACAGATTTCAAAGGGAAATTTTTATATTAAAAAAAGAAACATAAGCTGGAGCACAACAGATCAATATCATAACAAATGCTCAAATAATGTAGCCTAGTTTACAGCAAGCATCATGTTTTAAGTTAGATTGTGTGTCTGTAACATACAGTAGGCCTGGGTCTGTTATTTTTCACTTAAGACAGTATATAATTTGAGTTTAAGTGCAGGAACAACAGAAACGGTTTTATGTTTAAAAAAAAATAAAAAATGGCACAGTATCGAGATCGGATCTGTATTGGTCGATACTCAGAATTTTGATATTGGGATCGGATTGATTTAAAAAAAATGACATTGGTGCATCCCTAGTCGCATTTGCATTCAAGCTTCTTTGGAAATACTAAATTTAAGCTTTGAATGTCTGTCCATATTTAAATCATCACCTTAATAATCCAATCTTTTTGGTAATACAGCCTATAAATGTATAGTAAGGCCACTTGACCACTTGCGAATGTCTGCGCCTCAATTTATTTTCATTTTTTACAAGCAAGGCTTATTCACGGCACTAAATATGCTGTTTTGAAAGACAAATATGAAATGTTTTATGTTTTTACCAACACAAAGTTATGTGAAGTGCACGCGGTCATTTTGATCAATATAGTAGTTCTAGGTAAAAATACCCAGCTCTTTCTTGTTTTGTAGTTTTAATAAATTAACTATATTAGAAAGAAATATACACACATGAAACGTCAGTGTATTCTAGATATGTGTTTCTTTATTTCAACAAAGATATTAAATTAAAAAAACTTTTAAAAAAATAAATAAATGAAAAAATCTGATTCAGTAAGCTTAGAAATTGAAATCTATTTTAATGACATGCAAGAAAGGGAGATCCCTCCACCTGTTGGATGGGTGAGCAGGTGCAGTGGACAACTCTTGGTCAATTACTGTTCTTGTGTGTATAGAGAAGGGACTAATGTGAACACACAATGTCTTATAATTCCATTGTATTTCTATGCAAATATTGATGGACATGCATGATCATTCAATTCAATTCATATTTATTTCTATTTAACTTATACAATGTAGATTGTCTCAAAGCAGCTAAGCATAGAAGTTCTAATAAAATTAAAATGTGTCAGTCCAGTTTTCAGAGTTAAGATTGTTATACGCTCACATATTTAGCAGAACTTCGTACTCGACTCTCATCATTTATGAGGTGCTTTTACATGCAGCACCACTCCTTAACGCCAGTTTCAAAGGAGTGGCCCTATTAGAAGAACGTGCAGTGGTAACCACTGAAAGCTACTGTTAATAGTAGTAAGTTGGCATGACATGGCAGAACCTTCCTGAGTGCTGCATCTCACATTTTCAGATGCAAAAATATTATTATGTGTGAATCTGCCATGGCATTTTTGTGTAATTTCAGCGATTGGTACAACTGGTTTAACTGTATTCGTTGTCAGAGACTTTTTTTATTTTAATATTTTTTATTTATATTACAATGAAAATTATTGTATAAAAATTATTTAAAGCCTCTTTGTTTCTGATTTCTCTTCAGATCAAGTCAAAATAGCCTAGAACATGTTTTTAATAGATAGGCTATGTCAACACACTAAAGAAAATATAAATTAAAAACAAGCAATAAATAAATATGAGAATATAATGAATGCTGTGAGTGTGAGATAGAAGCTGAAATAACTAACCAGTACAAGAGTGTGAGAATTGGGCAGCTTTTGATGGATCACATTGATGATGGCCATGATTCCTCCACAGATCTGTTCTGGTGTTTGACCATGATTATTAGTGCCGACCCACAACACCACCACCTGCACACAAACAGACATAAAAAACCATTAAATTCCTCTATTCTATTACAACAAGGTCTCCTTCATTTGTTTCTGTTAGTACATTTATTTAATTACATTTGAGGGATTTTTTTCTCCTTTGTTAATCCTTCATTGAAAATAAAATAATAGCTAAAAAAGCTAAATCTTAAATAATGTACCTTTGGGCTGATGTAATCCAGTTCTCCATTGATGAGCCTCCACAGCACATGCTGCGTAGCATCTCCACCAATCCCAAAGTTTAGAGCGTGGAGAGGAGAAAACAATTTTCTCCAAACCTGCCAACAAGAAAAGATATTTTATACATGTATGCGAGTGTCTCAGCAGGTCACATTTAAGTGTTGCATTACACTTTTATTGTTTTGAGGCTTGAATACCCTTATCCTCATTGTCTATATGGGCGTGTATCAAGTATGCACACTTTGCTATACCTCAAACTCATGCAGAAGCTGGATGAGTGAATCTCCAACAAACAGAACATCAGGCTCTTTTCCTTTACTGTCTGATACAAATCGATTGTGCTGCAAAGACAAGACAATGTTATTATGCATATGAGAAAAGCAGACAATCACATTTTAGCAGCATAATACAGATATCTTATCTGGACGGAACATATAAATCTCTTTTTAATTCTGATGTTATTCAAAAGAACCACCAATGACATCCATCGTCCATCTCCCTGTATGTCCTGACAGGGGGTGGGTGTGGCTGCAGGGTTTGAATCTCCACTCATCACTTCCTGAAGAAAGACAGAGGGACATGGCAGGTCACATTTCCTCCATGATCTTTGCTTTAAACAAAACAACATCTGATGTTTTACAGTTAAGCACAAAAATGCTTTAAGTAATGCAAAAATATTAAATCCAAGTTGCATACTTGAAGCAATTTTTGTGTCTAAACGTAAAAAAAACTATAAATATGTTAAATATCTAATTTAAGTTGTACTGAGGTTAGATTATGTGTTCTTCATGTCCTGTGGCAAGCACGAATAGAGTAACTTTTAGGCAGCTTTACTTGTCTGTTTGTGCTATTCTGCATAAAGTTTGTATTTCAGTAACGTCAACATCTCCACAAACAATCCGGAAAAAACATTATGGACATAGTGTGCACATTAACTGGTTTGCCGTTTAAATATTATTACAAGTTTACAATATAAGGTCCTAAAACTAGTTAAACGTGTTTACAGATTAGCAACTAACGTTAATATAGCCAATGTAGCACTTAGCATGCAGATGCTTTTCATTTACAACAACCCGCAAACGCGTTTGGATATTGCGTCACATAATAATGCAAATAAATATATTTGAATGCACGTTATCACTTATGTCGAACCATTAATTTAAACCAAAAAAATTATTACCGACAAATGTTCTACAGCAGAGTTTTGTGTTGAATCAGTCAGCCAGCGGTCAGCTGCCAAACCCCGGAAACAGGAATATCGAACCAGGCATTACTGGCAGATAGCCGAGCACGATCGACCTATGAGATAACATTAAACTCCGATTAACGCCATATGGACGTCACATTAAACGAATTTCGTTTATAAGTTTGCAAATGTACGTGAAACATTTAAGCATTACTTAATAGCAACTCTCTTGACAAAAATATTTATTTATTATTATTTATCTGGATGCGCTTTTGATGATTTATGGAAGCACGTTGCCGAGCAACGTAAAGGTAAAACCTAACGGCATTATACTTCAGCTACATACCGAGTTCATTTGGTAAATATTTTACAATGAATCTGTATTTATTTTAACAGTTTGGACACAAAGAATGTTCTTTATTTGAGGTAGGTTGGTAAACTCGTTGAGTTTGCTCAGTGTTAACCACACTCTTTTACCATATTGTGGATATTTTTAGTAATGTTTACTTATAGTCTAAATTATTTTAGTTTGACAAATTATTTGATTGTTAATAACTTTTGTTTTACAGTCTTAACATGAAGATGAGCCAGCCTTTCACCAAAAGCTTTAAACACAGCTTGCCAAAGACATCCAACGAACAGCACAGTAGCAAAGCCAAGTCTTTGTGCCATAACGTTACAGAAAGCAGCAGCTTGAAAACAGACGTGCTTTGCAACTCTGCACATAAAGTGAGGCGTCTTAAAACCAGGAAGGAGAGGAATCAGATTCGAGGTCAAGAGAGAAACAGGTCTCAGCCATGCCCTCAGAAAAGCAGAAAAGAAGTTGGTGAGAAAGCCCAACGCCACCACATCCATCCAATGTCTGGTTCTAGAAATGAGAGGCCATTCGCCAAGCCATTCATCCTCCAGAAGCCAAGCATCATAACTGAGGGACGCCTTACCTCCATCAAAGGCCTTTTCAGCAATGAGGTTAGGTCGTTGGATATTGAGCGACTGGTGAGCGAACAAATAAAGCAAGATAACCAGAAAAAGGAGCCGAGAAAACAGTCTATGGTGCAAATTAGGTCACAGCTACCTACATTGGTACCTGATTCAGACCAGGACTGCATTCTCAATGATGTACCAGGACCAGAGAACAATTCAACCCCACAAGTGAAGAGGAAAATTTCAAGAAAAGAGCTCACTGGGAAAAGGGGTTTTCAGACTAATAGAAAGTTAGATGCCTCAGTTCCTCTAGCATCATCAAGTGTGGATGGGAAGCATAAAAGAAACACCAGAACTGAAATGGAAGGTAATAATAGCAAAACAAAGCAGAATAGTGCCAAAGAACCTGAACAAGTGATTTTGTCATCCTCAGAAAATGAAAATGAACCTATTCCCCAGTTATGCTCTACTCCAATTGAAACTAACAAGCACAACTTTAATATTTCACAAACAAGCACTCTTAAGACCCCTGATGATGGAAAACATGTTCAGAGATTTGAAGAAATCTCTACAATAGTGGAATTCCCGAACATGGAAGATTTGCAGCCTTTAACCTCTCTATCTGGACTGAGCTCTGGGACTGGACAATTAGCAAACAATGACAAGCAGCAGGAGGAGGAAATGTCAGTGTCTTGTAGAGAAGAAGTAAAAAGGCTGGCTAAACGTTTGTGCTCAGCTTCAGATCTCTATGTGCCAAGCTATCAGCGCTCCCTACTGGATAAGTGTAAGAAGACACTAATGCAGACTTTACAAAAAAGACATAGCTTCCAGTTAAATCACAACCTGCACAGGCTACGTTCATCCTTGAATGGAAAGCAAAAAGCCTCTCAGCCAAGCACAGCACAGACATGTGAAGACCGTTCACCATTTAGCCATGCAGTGGAGATTGAGGATAGGTGTAACATCAGCAACATGCCTATTTGGACAGGTATGGGACTTTTTTTGAAGTTTGTGGAAAGTGACAACTGAGAGTGTCCCACCTAAAGGATAGATACTTTTGAAATGCAGCTTAAACAAGTTTCATAATCTTATTTTATTCAAGTTGGTTTATATAGTAAAAAAAAACTTCCCTTTAACTCTAAAGCTCAAATCAAAGCATGCATGAATAGCATTGTTAGGTTTGGAGGGGAAATGTTATTAAAGTGTTATTGAAATATTGTTGTGTACATAATTTATGTTTATAATGAATTCTTTTCGTCCTAGATAGAGCCGTACGGCAAGATTTCTTGCCAGATCAAGTTCCTCGACATCAGGACAGGGGAATGTCCACCAAGAAACGTAAGGTACAAGAGTGGACGATCTCTTCTCCTCAATTCTTCCTAAAAGAACCACAACAGTCACAGGTGGAGATGGTGAGTCAATGTAATCTGTCACTGTTTAATTTCACTTAACCAAATAACTAAAGCCCCAGTCAGATCACACGATTTTTATTGTCTGTTACGAAAGTCACTACCAGAGTATGAGATTTTGTCATGATAAAATCTTGACTTGTTCTGGATAACAAATGTTCCAGACTACATGTTCCTTCATGATCAGTCATCCTTTGACGTCTATGCTGAGCTTTATTTTCCAAAGCAGTCACAAGTTTTGCTATAACAACATTTCTTATCTTACTCATTTCAATGTTTTTTTTTTTTAATCTTATGTCAATCTCAATAAACACTCATGCTTGCTGATAACTAGGCTACATTATTTAAGGGCATTCATTAGGACATTAATAGAATCAAACGTATATTTCCTTTTTAATAATAGGATATTTTCTATTAAATCAAAATGTACATTTTCCAGCTATGAGTTGCTTATTGAACACTCCCTCACGTGAAATTACTACGAATGAGATGGGGGAAGTAAAAGCACATCAGCATCAAGGAAAAATCAGATGCTCATGACAAAATAATGACATATTACAAAAAATAGCAAATATTGGACAGAGATTTGTGATACAACAATACCAGAGAAGCGTTAATTAAATCCTTTTTTTCCACGGCATGAAACAAATCATCCACCCACACAGTTGAGTAGTGGATAGGCACAAGCTATCAAAATATCTTTTTGAAACAAATTTCATTTAGTATAATTTGTATCTTAATTTTAATGTATTTTTGTTCATCAGTTATCTACTAGATAAACAAGAATAATGAATAAAATCAGAGGTGAAGTGCTATAAAACCAGTCCGCTATATGCTTCAGTGGTTTCCCAATCCCAAATCCCAAATTGGTTTGTTTAATAAAATAAAATCTAGCCTAAATAAAATTAAAGTAAAATATTCACCGTTTTAGCGAAACTTATATCAAACATTTCATTTTTAATGACAAAATCATCCATTGCCGGTGAGTTTTAGTTTAATCAAGTAATTTGAATAAGCAAGGCAGGCTTTTACAGTGTATTAGCAGCACTAAACATGTTTCCAGATTACCTCAAAAAACAAAGTCAGTCAGAGGCTGAGAGAACTTAGAAACTATTGAGAATGCATATTTGTGCCAGTCTGTCAAATAAAATTGCTTAAACACTTTAATGTTTTAGAGAAAGTAGTTTAAGTTTGAATAACCAATGATTGATCTTATCCACCCATGCGTAAATATGCAGTCTATTTTTTGATTAGTTGACCCATAGATTAATGGCAGCACCTGCAATATAACTGAGCAATGATGTGCCCCTATTGTCCTTTGTCACCTACGTGATGGAACTCGTCATGAAGATCGAGGAAAAAATGAAACATGCTAGACTATCTGCCATGGTGTTGTGAGGCGTCACAGATATGGCATCCGTTGTCATGAACTATGCCACATTACACAAGAAAAAACAATTGAATCTTGTGTCATGACGCTCATTTTTTTTTACTCCCCTTGACACCCTACGTCAAAGAAATCGTGCCGAAATAGTGACAAAATCGAGTGATTTGACCAGGGCTTAATCCTAGATTTGTTATAAATAATTACAGAAGCTAAGAAATTGTAAAGTTAAGAAATTCCTTGCATGTCAAACATTACATTTATGAAAAATGTTGTTTTTTTTATCTAAGTTTTTACCAAAATAGCAAAACTCTTTCCAAGTTTTTTTTTTTTTTGTAGGCTCAAAAAATACTAAAAAATATTTGTGTTGTGAAAATAACATTTTCAAATTATTTTATTTAGTCATACAAGTGCCAATTTTATATCTGACACTTCCCCAATAGGTAGATTAGGAAGTCCATAACAAAGCTTTTTTTTTCATAAATGCAAAAATGTAAAATAATAATAATAATTAAAAAAATATTTGATTATAAAAAAATAATGATAATAATGAAAAATACTTTTGTTCCACACAAAGACCACTCTTATCCCTTTGATTAGAATTGTTTCTATTGGGTTGTGCAGTTCAATTCACAAAGTATATTTTATACTAATAAAAAAGATTATACTATGCATACCTTTTTTAATCACATCCACAATGCATGCTAAAATAAAAAATAAAAAAACAGGTTTACAGATTGATGTTTTTTCTGATCCTATAACTACAGTACATTCTATGTGAATTTATGTTTCTACTTTTTACTGCAAATCTGACATCCATAACCCTGTAATTTGCTTGTCAATTTTTTGCATGTGATTTTGATGAGTTTGATTTGATGGTCTGTCTTTTGCAGTTTGACCAGTGGAGACCAGCTACGTTGTCTCAGGATAGCTTCAGACCTCATCAGCATCCCATCGGACAGCTTTTCAACCAGGACCAGACCTTCACTCAGCATGCCGCACCTATACTCAAAGCCCCAACCTGGGAGGATCATCCTGTAAATCCACATTGCCAGCAGCAGTTCCGCAGCAGAGGGGAGAGTTGGACTAATGTGGATTTAGATCTGTCCAAAATCTCTCAGCAGTTTAGAGAAGACACAGATGTTAATATTGATTCATATCAATTTTATGACAGCAGGAAACAAAGACCAGAAGAAGCTTCTTTTGGAGGATCCAGCTTCTGGTCCCATCAGTCACAAACTCAGGATGAAAGAAAAAAAACGGCTCCTTTCTCGTTCTCAGCATCTTATCTCACAGAGGGATTTCAGTATGAGCCTTTTTTTCGCTGTCCACATCCATCTAACACCCAACGCAGGTCAGAATATCCTAATATGACCTTTTGTCCCAGGTCACAGTCAAACACATTATTTTACCCTCACCTTTTCCTTTAGAGAAGAGTATTGACCAGAGCGAATCATCGCTGGTTCAGCTAAGCAATTATTTGCTTACTGTTTATGTGTGAATAATTTCTTCCCCTTCGCAATACTGATTTAACTTTTTTATTGTTTCAAAAAAAACCATCACCTCAACATGTGATTTCAGTTTGGGAGTTCAGCGTGCTCACATTATGTATAGTCATGATTTCTTTAGTGTATACTACTTAAAAGGTAGTGAGAGTGAGTAACTTCTTAATATCTAATCACTCTTTGTGCTGCACAGATATTGAAACCTAGTTTTTGTTGATTCTCCTGCTTATATGGGGTAAGTGTGTTATCTTCAACAAATGATGCTGCTTGTATATTTATTTCTTTTAGGTATTAGTTTAGTCAGATTTCTTTAAAATACATTTTAGGCTGGACTTTTATTATTTCCACTCAAGTTCAGTATTCTATGAAAAAGGTCACACGATTTTGAGATAATCCTTTAATAAGGCAGTACAAAATTGAAATATTTACATAAAACTAATTTCACAGTTTACATTAGTAAAATTATTTGTAGTAAACTAAAATGTAAACATTAAACCGTGTAACACTCAAAAGTAAACAAACAGCTATTTTACATGTTGAATTTCTTATTTTTTAGTTTATGTAATTATTTACTTTTTGCATTATACAGCTTTTTTTACATATTTACCACAAAAGCATAATAAACATTCAAAGTTTCAGAGTTCCAGATTTTCCTGTGTTTTTTTCTCAGATTATTACTTTGTTCATCTTTGTAAAAGACTTTAAAAAAAAAAAAGAAAAACATGCACCACTTTTCTGAAATAGTTGTTCAAATAGTAATCAAACATAAAACAAGCTACAAACATATTCATTGTATATATACATATGCATCATTTACAGGCTGTCAAATTCTTTGAAGTCAGTTAATTAGGTTATATCTCACCGAATAAATTTGATCATATACACAGTTGTAAGTCAGAGTTATTAGCCCCCCTGAATTATTAGCCCCCGTTTAATTTTTCCTCAATTTCTGTTTAAAGGAGAGAAGATTTTTTTCAGGACATTTCTAAACATAATAGTTTTAATAACTCATTTCTAATAACTGATTTATTTTGTCTTTGCCATGATGACGGTAAATAATATTTGACTAGATATTTTTCAAGACACTTCTATACAGCTTAAAGTGACATTTAAAGGCTTAATTAGGTTAACTAAGCAGGTTAGGGTCATTAGGCAGGTTATTGTTTAATGATGGTTTGTTCTGTACTCTCGAAAAAAATATATAGCTTAAAGGGGCTAATAATTTTTACTTTAAATTGCCTTTTTTAAAAATTTTAATTGCTTTTATTGTAGCCGAAATAAAACAAATAAGATTTTTTCCAGAAAAAAAATTAGACATACTGTGAAAATTTCCTTGCTCTGTTAAACATCATTTAGGAAATATTTAAAAAAGAAAAAAAAAAAACTTCAACTGTATGTCAGTGTAATTAGGGCATCAGGTAATATATTTCATCTTCTGTTGGTGTCTGATTTACAAAATATTCTCTTTCCTCCTTGTCCGCACACACTTTCTCTTTTCTCCTCAGTTCATTGTCATCCATCTTCTGCTCATCTTGGCTTCCAGAGTTGCTGCTTCTTAGAGCTCTCTTTAACTGATTCCAGAACAGTTCTTTTGCACTGTTTGGATCAGAACAGTTTGACCCAGGCCACTGAAGATAGGTCTTTTTGAGCATGACTTTCCTCATGCGATGATAAGCGGACAGTTGACGTTCAGGGATAGGCTCCAGAAAGACAAGCAAAAGCACATCTTGCATTTCCTGGAAGAGGCGATAGCTAGCCAATTGAATCTCTAGTGAGCACCATTCACTGCGAAGGAAGCTCTGACTGACCACACAGATTGTTTTACGGCTGCCATAGACGGCAGCTACAATGTTGTCGACAATATCACGGCCTAGCTCAAAATCTCTGTGGTGGAGGCACAGGCGAAATGAAGAACCCTCAAGGTTCGGCAGTAACTGTTCCATTACCCAGTCTTCATCTGCTGAATTGTAAGAAACAAAGGCATCGTAATTGTATTTTTCCTCCTGGTCCCGTAAGCGACGCCACTGTTCTCCAAACCACGATCGAAACACATAGTAGCCATACTTGAATTTCCAGTAAAGTTTGACATAGAGAAGTGGTATTAAGGTTAATAAAATTGTCAATGTGGAGGTTGAGGAAAAAAAGTAAAGCTCTATGTCCAAATAACACACTTTAGTGTCAAAGTTGTGAAAATATGAGCCTGGGTGGTCTGGGCATGTGATATTGAAAAGATGTGGAAATTGGAGCCTCTTATTCATTATGGTCCAGTTCTGTAGATCACTGTTATGGCAGCCACAACTCAGAGGACAACTGCGCATGTCGATGTATATTAGATTAGTCAGATTGTCCAGTAAACTAATGTCCAAAGACATCATGGGATTGCGATTCAAATGTAGCGTCTTCAATCCTGTGAGATTTCCGAAAACATCTTTTGAAAACGATTTAATACCCATGTTCTCAAGAGATAACGTCCTTAGTTTTTGAAGGCTTTTGAAAATTCCAGATTGGAGCTGGGCAACCCCAGCACACGAGTTGTCCAGTGTTAGATAATCCAAGTTTTTCAGGTCGTCGAACGTTTCATCACCAAATCCAATAATATGATTGTTGGTGAGATACAGACTTTTCAAAGAAGTTAGACCACGGAAAAATGCACGAGGCAACAAGTTAATGCCGTTAGGTTGCTGTCCATTAAGTTTCAGGTCGTAAAGTCTTGACATATTTTTAAACGGCGAGTGTGTATGTTCTGTAAAATACATAATCATGTTACCCTGCAAATCCAGCACCTGCAGGGTGCCAGAGAGTTTCCCAAAGAGTACGACATCAATCATTTTAAGATGATTCCTGTCTAGATACAGATTGGTCAAGCTATAGAGCCCATCAAAAGCATGCGGTTTCAGCTGTGAGATCTTGTTCCCGCCTAAATCTAAAATATCCAGTTTAGACAGATTCTGAAAGGTGTAGTTGAAAATGACAGCTATTTCATTGTTGCGCAGGTTCAGAGTCTTCAGGTTTGTGAGATCTTCAAAGCTATCATTGTAGATATCACTCAAAAGGTTGTTGTCGAGACGAAGAGTTTTGAGATCTTTGAGCCCACTTAAGGCTTTATGGTCCATATAAGCAATTATGTTGATGTTCAGCTCCAGTATTTCTAATTTAGGTGTATTGCTGAAGGCATAACCACTGATCTGTAGAATACGGTTGTATCGATAGCTCAGGTTTGTCAGGCTATTATGTATTTCTGCTTTGTTGCAGGACGTTAGCTTGGTCAGATGATTATGCTCCATCTTGAGACTTTTCAGTTGAGTCTGATTGTGGAGAAATTGCAAGCAGCCAGCGCTTTTCAGCTCATTCCGCGAGAGGTCCATTTCCCGTGTGATACTGGGGCAATAACGAAATGTATTATTTTTTAGAGCTCCTATAGAATTGCTCTGGAGCAACATTTTAGGTATTTGTAAATGCTTATGGCTGTGATTTCGCATAAGGACACACAGGGAACTCAGTGCATGGGAGTTCTTCAGCTTCAGGCCAGAAAAGTCAATGTGCCACGGATGCACATTGGGATAAGTAAGAAGTTTGAAAATGGAGATATTGGTAAAGCGCAACCGCAGGTACGTTATATTCTCCAGTTTCAGGCCAAGAAAAGATTTGGATGCCAGGTTTTTGTTGTCTGAGAGATCCAGCTTTTTGACATTCATAAGAAAAGACTTGTCACATCCCAGTGTCTTTAGTTTGTTATCACCGAGGTAGAGCAAGGCAAGTGACTCTGGCAGATGGGTGGAGTGTTGCAGGGTGGTCAGCTTGTTAAAAGAAAGATCCAGTTTTATCAAGCTTGTCAGGTTTGTTATGCTTTCAACCACAGACGAAAAGTTATACAAGTGGTTTCTGCGTAAGTCAAGAATCTTGAGGTTTGTTAGACTAGAAAACAGATACTTATCAGGATTAGTCAGTTTATTGCTTCCCAGGAGCAGCTGTGTGAGGTTATGGAGGTCACTGAAGACATCCCTGTGGAGAAATGATATGTTGTTGCAGGACAAATTTAAAGTCTGAAGATGGTGTAGATTATTAAAAGCATCCTTGTCGATGTTAGTAATATGGTTAGCGTCCAGTATCAGAGCAGTCAGATTGGGCAGATGATCGAAGCTTTGACTTTGCACATATTCAATGTTGCTGTGAGAGATTGTAAGATTTAATGCAGTGGGAAATACATCACTCACAATCGCAGTTATGTCTCGTTCATAACTTTTAACACATGTAAAGATTGTATGATTAGAATCTGGGATCTCTATGCAACTTCTGAAACTGTAGCTGCAGGCAAGTTTTATGAGACAGATGAATGTGGCCTTTAGTATCAGTTTGTGGCATGCAGAGTGTGCCATGTTTTTCAGTTCCACTTTTAAATGTAATTCCTATAAACTGAGTCCAACATTACAAAGCCTTTCACTCTGTGAGAGCTTCGTCTAGTCCAGTATTGAGCGTTTAACAGCCAGCTGCTAAAGAGAAAAAAAGATTGAGGTTATAATCAATTTAATCTGAAATATCAAATATACAGTTGAAGTCAGAATTATTAGCCCCCATTTGAATTGTTTTTTTTTTTTATTTATTTATTTTTTCTCCCCAAATTATTATTAACAGAGCAAGTAAATTTTCACAGCATGTCCGATAGTATTTTTTCTTCTGGAGAAAGTCTTATTTGTTTTATTTCGGCTAGAATAAAAGCAGTTTTTCATTTTTTTAAAAAAATTTCAAGGACAAAATTGTTACCCCCTTTAAGCAATTTATTTTTTCATTAGAACAAACCATCGCTATACAATAACTTGACTAATTACCCTAACCTGCCTAATTTACCTAATTAGCTTAGTTGAGCGTTTAAATGTCACTTTAAGATGTAAAGATGTGTCTTGGAAAATATCTAGTAAAATATTATTTACTGTCACCATGGCAAAGATAAAATAAGTCAGTTATTAGAAATAAATTATTAAAACTTTTATGTTTAGAACGGTGCTGAAAAATATCTCTGTTAAACAGAAATCGGGGAAAAAAAACAGGCGAGCTAATAATTCTGACTTGAACTGTACATTTCATTCTTTGGATGTAATAAATAAAAGCAAGAACAATCAATAGATGTTTTAATTATTTATTTCATGTATTACCAATTAATAAAATGACAGAGGTTAGTGAAAGTGCAGTGAGTAATAAATGATTGAGTAATAATGAGTACATCCCCTTTACATTCATGCATTCTGTTATGAAAGCTACAATAACCTGTTTGTGTATATATTTCAGATTAGTCAGTACCAAATCAAATTAATCTGGAATTAATCTTATAAGATCACTGTGGAAATATTATCGCACCCCAATAAGTTAAATTTTAATGGAGGAAAAAAAGGAATATAACTGTTTAAACAAACTGTCCATTTTTAAATGCACCAAAATTCTTTTCCAATAGTCTAGATTCACAGAGAAATTGAAAAAAATAATAATTTTCAATAAATTTTGGTGTACTCATTTATATTGTGCACTTTATAATGCAGGCAGATTTTTTTTTCTTCTCACACTTCTCTAATAACTCATATTAACTGACAGTTTCCCCATTCTTCAGTCAGCAACTTCTCTAAACAATTTTATTTAAAAAATAAAACTAAATTGTATCAAAGACATTCAAATGAAGTCAATACCTAAACATCTTACTTAAAGTTAACATGTAACTGTATGAAAACTTCTTTTGCTAATGAAACTGACATTAAAGTACAATGAGAGGTGAGCAAAACAAACAGAGAACGAATTCAAAGTAAAACAAGCTCTCATATCATTGCTAAAAAAGTAAGCTCTGGATTTAAAAATGAATTTGAGTTAGTACCTTACCTTCATGAAATTCTTTCCGATAGTTTTGTAGCTATCAGAAGCATTCTTTCCTTTTAAATAGGAGTTTCTCCTCCCAGGAATAGAAAGAGGAACCAGCAAAGTCAGATCAGACAATAAGCAGTTAGTCCTGTTTTGCCTAGTCTTGTTGTTTTTATTTGTCATGCAGAGAAATCTTTCTGTAAATACATATTTGTATACTGATAATTATCAGATTTTTTTTATAATAATATTGCCCTAAATTTAGGTAGACTGATTGATGTAAAAAGTTAATAAGGGTTTGGTTTGTTGTATAAAATATAATGCAAGGTTCAATGAAATCAAATCTAACACTTCATAGTTGAAGGGTCATTTAAAACTTTGAGACAGTTTGGGGAAAAAAAGCAAATCATATTAAAAAATTCAGTTCCATCAATTTAGTTTTTTTTTTAATCATTTATTCCATTCCCTTCGTTTCCAAATTAGCCTCTCGCCTTCTGTTCTCGGGCCAGCTGACAGAGTCCACAGAAAGAGCAGCAGGTCATGATCACCCAGTCATCACAGACAGATCCCTTAAAAAGAGATAAGATACTTACTTTAATGCTAGACTTCTATCAGCAGTGTTATGGAATGATGGATTTCAGCTTGGATTAAAATGATAGTTTTTTTTTCTATTTCATCACCTACATTAATATGATATCGGTCACGGATGCTGGTCCTCAGTGCAACCATAGCTCCAGGTAGGAAGGGCAGACAGCAGCTGTCGCCATTATCCTGTGCCACCTTACAACCCAAGATGCAAGGAATAAATGCCCCACACAGACCTGAGGAGAAAAGCAATATCAACTTTCACACCATTTTACAACATGAGCTCAAAATTAAGGTATTTCAGAGCTTTAATTTGTTATTTGTCCAGTAGATGTCAACAAAAAGTGGGTTTACATCAAAAATCTGATCATTTCAGAAATCTGTTGTGTGCAAAAAACCACATTTAAATGAAATTCCAATAGCACTTTTGAATCAATACATTTTATTTACGAGGTACTATTAAGTTGGAACATCCTAGGCAAACTTGAATGGCAGTGGCATTATCATAGCACAATATCAGCATCAGTAGCTCAAAATTGTTGGTGGGAAATCTGTCAGAAGATGTATGTATAGTATGTTTTCAGTGCTTGTTTTGATGATTTTGCCTTAACTGAGCAAGTTAATGACATGATTTCATGCTCATTCCGAAATATTACCAGCACCCCTGTCTAGCTTGATGCGTGTCCACAGTAAGGACTGCTGAGAGCTGGTAATCTTGACTGAATTCATAGATAATAAATAAAAGAAAAACTTTTCCTACTTTTACTTTCATGAATACCTTGCATAAAATCAGGTATTGTTCTCATCCGATTTTGTTTAAGGCTCTTTTAACCTTTAACCAATAAAAGAAATCTTTGAAATATGTTAACGTGACATTACACATATCAGCTTATTAAGCGATTCTCTCGTGAACTTGTACTGTGTACAGTAAAATGTGCTGAGAGAGTTTCTTTGGAAATGTAATCGCTTACGAGTACAAGTTTACGAGTTACCCTATTTAAAATGTAATATGTAGCATAAGGATTTCAGTGACGTAAATCAATACATTACTTTTTAAATTTCTAGCAAATGTTTTTAAGCTGCTGATTTGTGAAGCACAACCCTTACAGAATCATACTTCAGTTCTACTTTTTACTTTATTGATCATTCTGAGATTAAAAAGTTAATGTCATTACAAGAAATAGATTAGTTAGCTATGATAATACACTAAAAAAAAACCTTTGCTGCTTGTTTCAACTACATATTGAAAATGAGTAACACTACAATATTTAAGGAGCTTTTTTCAGGACAACTTAATTGGTTAATGTTCAATCCACTTAAATTTGTAAAAATAATTGCATTAACATAATCATTTTATGTTAGGACAACATATGCAGGGTTTCACACAATTCATTCATGTTGTCTATACCACAAATTTCTTAAGTTAACTTAACACTTAACAAATTTATGTGGATTGAACTTACAAAAAAATTAAGTTGTACCAATGAAATCTTAAGAATTGTGTTGTTTCAGCTTATTTTAATTAAGTAGTTTGAACAAGTTAAAAAAAAAATATATATATATATATATATATATTTTTTTTTTTGAGTGTAGTTGGAGAAGTATACGGATCTGCTTGAAGTGTACTTAAGAAGTAGGATCACTCTCTGTCTTTGTCAAAGGGTCGTTGGTCTCTCTGTATAAACTTCAAAATGGCAGTGGGGATTTCCCTAAAGGGAAGTGTATAAGGAAGTTTGTCATTCTGTGTCTAAACTGAAGTGAGTAAAGACGAGCACTACTATAAAATGCTTATGTTCAACTTTTTAACCAAAGTATACTCTGAGCTTTACTAATCACACTAATTAAAGGAAGTGTGCTCAACCCTGCTCCTGGCGATCGACCTTCCTGCAGATTTCAGTTGCAACCCATATCAAACACACCTGCCTGTAATTATCAAGTGCTGTTCAGGTCCTAATTAATTGGTTCAGGTGTGTTTGATCAGGGTTGGAGCTGAACTCTTTAGGAAGGTCGATCTCCAGGGGGGTATTCCAGAAAGCTGGGTTAACTTACCATCTGCTAAAACCTAAACTCTCGGTTGATTTACCCAAAACCTGCTTACCGCGAGTATGTTGGTTCCAAAACAGGTGACAAGAGTTAGTTAAATCAACCTCCTTAAGATAACCGCGGGTTAATGCGCGTGCACGGCACACACCTGAAGGCATTTTCAGTAGATCGCCGAATTCACGAGTCACCATAGAAAATCACGGTGAGAAAAAAAGGGCAGCGCACTTTACAGAGGCGAAGCTGAAGGTTTTAAACACAGAGATTACACATCTGCTTCAACGAAGGAAAGAAATATAGAATAAGAAATAGATAAGAAAATAAAAAATAAATAATGAGAAAATTTATTGGTTCATTAAATTACACATGCCACCCTCCATTTTATTGTAATGATAAATTAAACTACTCTTTAACATCCTTTTTGAGTATGTTGTGTAACCATTCATGCATTTATTTTTCTTGCCATTAATTTCTTAAGGCCACAATATGTGTATTGACTAATAAGGCTTATAGAAATTTTAATCTTTCTGGAGCTAGAACTCTGTCCACAGTCATTAAACACAGAAACATTATCATAAAAGGTAATATTTAATTAATGGAGCTCTTTATTTAACACTCTAGAATATTCTTTCTGACATGCAGCTAATAGAAAGAGGCCTGTCTAACTGCTGTGTCCTATAATAAAGGCTTTTCAGTGGTTGAGTTTTTGACTTAAACCACACACTCTGTCACTGTTGTAAGTGATTGTTGTCAGATAGCTTTAGGTTCTTTTTATTTTGCATGCAGACGAAGTTCCTTCTGCCTCAACTAACAAGCAGTGTAAGAATTTTCTGCACTTTTCCATATTTGAATATTACTCTTGGATCACAAAATCTTTTATCTACATATTTAAATTCTAAAGTAGCTGTATAAGGTCCATCTTCAAAGATAAAGTCACATAAGCATCAACTTAAGGTGAGAAATGTATATGAAAAATATGTTACACGTTGAAAGGTGTGTGTATAAAGCAGTGTACAAAATCATTCATTTTATTTCAGGAAATGAAGAAATGAACAGACCAAACTATTTGATTAAACATAGTTTTTTGACTAATTATATATTTTTTAGCACTCTTCCATCTGTTTTGTCTGCTTGGGTCACTGAGATTTCCTCTGGGTCAGGCTGCAGGTAGGGTGTCATCGTATAAGGCAGAAAAGGGTATCTTTTGTCCTCCAGCAAGTAACAATGTAGTGCCCAGTAATGATTCTATTTTATAATACAAATATAATAAAAATAAACATTGTGTTAAGCAACATTTGCTTTATAGTTTTTTTTTTTTTACTATATTTGTGTTATACACTTGAATCATTACTTCCTGAAAATCAGCCATTTAGCCTCAACATAGTGATGAGGTGGGGTGTGTGATGAGCTGGTAAGCAGTAATGAGTTTAATAGCTGAAACACCAAAAGATTAAGGATAGAAAATTAAGTTGTACCTGCACACTTATACTTTGGACAAATTTTATATTATCAGTGTCCTTTAGTGACTGATGGAGCTTTAAAATCGGTTGCAATTAATGCACACAATAGCATTTAGAAACCCTGAAAAAAATATTATATTAAAAAATGTAGGTGTGTGTGCGTGAATGTATATATAAGAACGACGTCCTACATCTTAAATTAAAGATATATCTTCCTACAAAAGACAAAGCTGCCAGTTATAATATTATACAGAAAAATGTGAGGGTGCAGAAGGAGAGAAAAAACACAAGGTCTGTAAGTGAGATTCGAACTCGCTCCGTTGTGCGCTCCGTTGTTCTTTATCGACGTTCTGTCTACTACGCTATTCCCGTGCTCTGAATCACCTGTGTAATGATACGCAGTAATGTATGACCAAGGAACTGTACAAAAGTGTAAAAAACAGTTCAGTGCCAGGCATACTGTACAGGTGGTCATACTGCCACATTGTACAGTTGCCTAAAATGCCCTGACGCGAATACAAAGAGCTGCACTGAATGTTTTTTATGGTAAGCGCAGACCCGCGGTTTGTCACATTTGATTTCAAAAAGGTTTGTTAAATACATTAACATTATGAATTTGGTTCTGAAAAAAATATGCACTTATAACCCTCTCACAACGAAAAAACTTGTATCTGTGTGTCCACATCCATAAATATTCTCATCAAAAGAGCACGCAATGCTCAGTAAACTCTCTGAAACAGACAAACTCTGAAACATAGCAACTTACTCTCTGAACATAACCTGCTCCGGAGCAGGTTATCTTCAGAGAGTAAGTTGCTATGGCTACTTAACATACCCAGAAGTTACCTCCGATTTTGGAACCAAAGTTGAGGTTATCCACCTACTTACTCTCAAACTTACCCGGGTATGTCACATAACCTGCTTTCTGGAACAGCCCCCTGGAACAGGGTTGACCACCACTGAATTAAAGGGACAGTTCTTTAGACCTGCTCACTCTTGCATATCTGGATGAGTCTTTGTTATTTGTTTAATCGGTTGTTATTGGGGAATAGCAACTTGGAATGTTGTCACTGACCAATCAGAATCAAGTATTACAGTGTAAAAATAACACATCAAACGCTGGTCATCTGTAAAGTCAGTTTTTTCAACTAAAACTATGCAAAGGTGATCTTATTTTCATGTAGACTTAAGCATCCGGGATAAACACAAGTACAAACAAACATAAAACGTACACATAGTCCCTCTCTGTAATAAACATACTGCGCTAACATTGTTTTGCTTTATAGGAAATCAGTGTATCGTCAGGAGCCACTAGGATTAATTCTATTTTGCCTATGTATTTTTCATGACTCCCAAGTTATCAGCAGTGGTGGAAAGAGTACTGAAAAATCATACTCAAGTAAAAGTGCCATTATTTGCCTAAATATTTGCCTGTGTAAAAGTATCTGTAGTAAATATTACTCAAAGTATGAGTTAAAAGTACTGTAGACCTTTCAAAAGTACTCAAGAGTAGTGAGTATTACGCTGTTAAAAGCTGATGCATTTACATGTAATTTGTGCATGTGTGTGTAAACATAACATTCTGTAGCACATCGAGTTATTGCCCAGCAGACACACAATGTCAGAAGACGTTATTATTAGGTTAGATTTAGGTTGTGATGTCAGGTGACCAAATTTTAACGTCTAGCCAGCATCTAGGGATGTGATTTTTATGTCCAATAATGACATCAAATGGCGTTGATATTTGGTCGATTTTAGGTTGTTAGAAATTGACCAAAATCCAACGTCGAGCCAACATCTTAAACCAACATTATATTGATGTCAAATACTGATATTTATTCATCAAGTGTGGCAATCAAAAACCAACATCTAATAGACATCACAGTGGTAACGTCCACACAACGTCAAGCTCCATGTAACATCATTAGATGTTGATATTTGGTAGGTTTAAGGTTGGACATTGACATTGAGTTCTGACGTGAACCCGATTTTCATTTCCAGACAAAATGTAATGTCCCCATGACGTTGGTGAGCGTCAATCTGACGTCATGTTGACGTCTTGTGTCTGCTGGGCTTCTCATCAGCGACATGCATCTAAACAGTCTATATGTCAATGCATGTAAAGATCTTGGACATCTTCTTGGGCATCTCCCACAGGACTGATTTTTTGAATCACCATAGACAAGAAAGAAATAAAGTAGTGACTGCAGGTTGAAGGAAAGTAGTGGAGTAAAAGTACAGATACTGCACTAAAAATGTACTCAAGGGAAAGTAAAAGTACATATTTTTAAAACTACTTCGTAAATTACAATTCCTGAGAAAAACTACTCAATTACAGTAATTAGTTACTTTACACCAGTGGTTATCAGTAGCCATGGCTTGTGTATTATGAATAACCAAGGACCACATTTTCTTTTTTTTTTTTTTTTTTAAATTGTCTTCTTTTGGAGCTTGTAATACAGAGATATGAAATCAAAACCTCGATTAAGCAAAGGCTTGTCATGTGTATTGCCATGCCATGCACATTATGTGTAAAAACACATGTATATATATATATTACAATGTTTTTTTTTTTATTTAAAACTGATTTTATTCTAGCCAAAAAAAACAAACACGACTTTCTCCAGAAGAAAAAATATTATTAGACATACAGTACTGTAAAATGTCCTAGCTCTGTCAAACATTCTTTGACAGAGCTAGATGATCTACAGAACAAACCATCATTATAAAATAACTTGCCTAATTACCCTAACCTTACTAGTTAACCTAATTAACCTAGTTAAGCCTTTAAATGTCACTTTAAGCTGTATAGAAGTGTCTTGAAAAATATCTAGTCGAATATTATTTACTGTCAACAAGGCAAAGATAAAATAAATCAGTTTTTAGATTCAGTTATTAAAACTATTATGTTTAGAAGTGTTGAAAAATCTTCGTTTGACAGAATTTGGGTAAAAAAATAAACAGGGGGCTAATAATTCAGGGGGGCTAATAATTCTGACTTCAACTGTATATACACAATTATAAGTGGATCTCAGTAAACAGAACACAATTAAAAAGGCAGTTCATAACCCCTTTAATAGAACAGAACAGAATAGAATAGAATAGAATAGAATAGAATAGAATAGAATAGAATAGAATAGAATAGAATAGAATAGAATAGAATAGAATAGAGTGCTTTATTGTCATTGTATACAAGATACAATGAAATGGCAGATCTTCATCTCCATCAGTCACTCACAGATGCCGCAGTCATCACAGCAGTCACAGACGTCAGAGCTCCAGTGAGAAACTGTGTAACTGGTTACAGTCATTTGAGGCTGAGACGTCATTGATTCTGCCTGATATGACATCACTGACAACAGAAACCTGGTGAATGATGTGAGAATGCTCTTTTATAGACAGCATTGTACTACAAGTACTTACAATTACAAAGCATTTTCACTTGGCAAATATGCAAGCTATGTTTCCATCCACCTATTTTAAACACATTTTGCAATACTCAATTAAAATAATCAATTATTAATAAAAAATAAATTGGAAAAAAATTAAATAATTAACAATGAATAGAAACACAAAGATGCACACAACTGACTTTGATAAGTTTTATCTGCTAAAAAAAATTAAATAAAATACGATCTCGATCATGCGCATCAAAAAGTTTTTTTAACAGATCATATGATAACAAAAATGGACATAATCAGCCTGATCTCACGAGAAAACGTAAGTATTTTACGTTTTGCCAGTTTAGTGGCTAATTCAGTCGTACGAAATGGTACGATTTTAAAAAGGAGGCGTGGCACCAGACCCCACCCCTAACCCCAACCGTCATTGGGGGATAAGCAAATCGTACTAAATTGTACGAATTAGATCGTACGAATTCATACGAATTAGCCACTAAATGAAAAAGTTACGAATTGCTGTGAGATTGTGTTGACATAATGGGACAGCATTATTGGACAAACTAGTAGACCGAACACATTACACAACATCAAATGTTTTGATCATTCTGAAGTGCTTTAGTTAACTGCAGAACAGTCTTGAGCATCTGTGCTCCTAAAGAGTAATCTGATGCCCCCAAAAGCCAGTGCGCATTCATTACATTTCATCTTCTGAGGCTAAAAGTTTACTAAAAAATTTACTATTTGAGAATAGTTACATTTTTCTGTTTAATATTTGCCAGCAGTTAATCAGAACATAATGAGTTTGTTGTCTTTCACTTATAGTATGGACACAGGGCTTTTCTCATAAGTTTAATTTGCATTTTGAATGGAAATAGCTACAGAGAAAGTCTCCAAATAAGTACTAATTAGGACAAGTGATGTCATTTTAAGAAATATTTAAAATTGTATCCTCTCTCTTACCTGTTTCAATGTAGAGTCTTCCTAATATCGTCTCACCTCCTCCAGGGAATGATGTTCTGATAGATCTCGCTGACACTGGAAATCACCTTTAACATGACGACGGGGAGGGGAAACTTTACCAGTGGTGAGTGCTTTATGTGACCTGTAAACTGAAGGGTGAAGTGTTTGGTTTGGGGGCGAGAAGTTTCAGGTCTCCACACCCTTCAAAACAATACGTTATCTACAACTCATAAAATATTTAGAAGAGAACATTATTTATCTGTACCTGAGTGAGTATATGTACAGCACACTGGCCACAATTCAAGAGCTCTGATTTAATTTGTCCAGTAACACCCCTACAATATATAATATACGTTTATATGCTCTGCATATTTGCCTAACCATAAAGTACATTTCTGTCAATAGAGGTATTAACAGCAACAAAGCTTGCTTACATTTGTTTGAAATGCATGCATATTGTAAAAAGTTGTAGATTTAAAATCATGGGTATAAAAATATCATGTGGATGCCTGGTAGGGCATCTGCTGCGTAAAATATATGCTGGATAAGTTAGTGGTTCATTCTGCTGTGGCAACCACTGATTAATAAAGGGACTAAGCTGAAAACAGAATGAATGGATGTATATTATTTTATTTTTTATTTTTTTACTTAATTTTTTGTGGTAATCTTGATCTTTTTAAAATATATCTATTTAGCTAATACACCTATGTAACTATTTTTATGTGAATATCTTTATTTTAAATATCATGTTTAAAATGCCATTTAATGTTTTACCCTGTGAATTTTTCAAGTGGGCGAAAGGTCTTTGTCATCCCTGCTAATAAGCTCTACTGAAGAGCTTTGGAGTCCACTCCATTCTACTTAACTGAATTGTTGTTGCATATGGCAAATTCATTGACATATTGGCAATTTCAGGCAATGCATTTCATGTTTGCTTGTCAGAAAACTGTCTTTTGTTTTTGTTATCAGCACGCCTATAGCGTTACCAACCTTTTAACCCATTCTGACCAGAAGAAAACAATAACCAAAGAGAAATGTCTATAGCTTTGACTTTTTCAACATTGTTCACAGTATTAAAAAAAGAAAAAAGTTTCAAAAGTAATGTGCTGGTAATATTTTGGTTAGTTGTTCTGTTTTTCCATTATCCTCATAGAAATACATCATACAACCTCATACAAAAAGCATGGAAAGACAGCAAATTTCTTTCTATTAATTTTATTAATTACATATAAAATACCGGTCAAAAGTTTGGGGTCATTTTTTTCTTCATAAGAAAATTATTTTGTTAATCAAGGTGGCATTTATTTCTTCAAAAATACAGAACAAATTGTAAAATTTTGAAATGCTATTGCACTATAAAATAAATGTTCAAAAGAAGTTTGTCATTTAATTTAATAATTTATTCCAGCGATTTTAAAGATGAATTTTCAGCTTCATTACTCCAGTCTTCAGAGTCACATGATCCTTCAAAAAGCACTCCAATATTAATTATTATAATCGTAGTAGTAATAAAAGCAATAATGACTGGAGTAATAATTTTATTTGAAACTGCATACAATAAGAAAGCAGTTATTTAAAATGTGAATAAATAATTAAAGTTTTTTTACATTTAATAAATGCAGCATTGGTGAGCAGGATAAGTTTATTTAAACATTTAAAAATCCTATACTGACCCCAAACTTTTGACTGGTAGTGTAGATATGTCTTTTTTTTTCTGACTTCAGACTTGAACCAAGTTCTCTTTCGAAACGCACTGTTTCATATTCACAGGAATATGAACAGAAAAGGGAAGCTCAGATATAATATGTGACATTTGTATACTTGCAAAAACAATTTATTAGGCAACAACACGTGAAACTGGCAAGGCTGTAGAAGTAACTTCACAAGCTATTAGAGTTTCAAACACAGCGTTTGTATAGGTATTGTATTGGTAGGATAGGTCAAAGTGCAGTTTCGTAAATTCTCTTTTTAGATGATGTTTAGATACGTACAGCCTGATGACAACACAAACTATTAAAAAGATTCAGTAGATTTAAACGCATGTGAGGAAATAGCTATTTTACTTTTTGAAAACTGAACTGTTTGGTTTTGTGAACGTACAGTTCACTCATGTTTACACATCAGGGCATGTCTCTGGTATTTCTAATGGCCTGCACAGCTTTAGCACTTACTAATTCTTTGCCTTTTCATCTGCGTTTGTGAAGTCAGCTTGAATAAATACAGTAATCAGCCTCCTGCCCCTTAAGTAAATGATCTCTTTAAAACATGTCATCAGAGAACATGAATTTCCAGTTTCACACATTTTTTAATTTCAATTTTCAAACATAACCAAATACAGTGCTTTTGCATTTGACTTTAAACTGTATTTTCAAATCTATCTAAGCCTAAAAAGAAGAAATATTACATATACTCGGTACTGCTTTACATATCATATTTTAAAGTTTGTGTGATTTAGGATTGTTTTGTGAATTCTGCAGTCATTTCCTTTTTCATTCTGATCACTGTAACCACATACATATGCGCACAGGATTGACCAATGCCTGAAGATGATATGTTGCACAACCAAACTGTCAAAATCACAAACCACAGTTTCAAATGCTTTAGACAGGGGCAAAGTAACGGATTTGAAACTTCACCCTTTTGAATCTCTGAAACAAAATGAGATAAGGAATACAAACAACTATTAAAATGAATAAATGTGAAAAATAAAAGTTATCTTTATTTGATCTGTGCTCTAGAAATGATCTACAAGCTAAAATAAGTAAACAATTGGATGGAGTCACAGTATGGTGGATTACAGCTGGAGATATTAAGTTGCTTTGTACTGCTTGTCAAAAGAGTGCCATTTGAATCAGTGTATATTGACATATTAGGATGGGCAAGAGCAAGTGTTTATCTACTTTAAATAATGCCAGTTTCTATCAGCTTGAAGTTTTGCTTGAGATGTAAAGATCTTAAATGCCATAAAGAAGAAGCAAACACTGCTACTCTGTGGTGGACTGATTAATTGCAAGTCATTGATTGGTTTGATTTTGACTTATGATTGATCAGTCGTTATTTATTTATAGACTAAGGCTGCGCAATATTGGAGTTTGTTTTTTCAAGTTTTCATTCAAAGTCAGAGATTTAAACCTGAAGTTGGCCTATATAAAGGGAATTGCAATAGTTTCCAAAACGATGGAAAACTCTTAGCTTTGTTAACAGGGTTTCTGCTGATGGGTTTAGGCAGGGCCCTATATTATCGACGACTGCTAAAAGCGGTCAGTGCAGCTAAAAACCTCACCAAGCTGGCCAACTGGATTGAAACAGTGGTTAGCAGGGTTGTTAGCACAGCAGTTATGGACCGAAATTGGAAAACTAGTGGCTTTGCAATGAGATTTGGACAGACAAGGGGCCTCATGTACGAAGACTTGCGTGGAAATCATACTAAAACATTGGGTACGCACAAAGCTGTAAATGTGCGTACGCAGAAAAAAATTCAGATGTATTGAACACTGCGTATGCCGAATCCCACGCATATTCTTTTGTACATCCAAATGAAAGTGAAACTGAGCGCAAAACCCCTCTCTGCCTCCTCCCAACCTAAAAGCAAAAGCAAGCAAAAAGAGAAACTTTGAACAGAATGTGAATTGAAGGTGCTGCTTTCGGAGGTAGACCGGAGAAAAACTGTGTTATTTGCAAGTTTGTCCTCCGGAATTAACAACAAAAGAAAAAAAAATAGAGTGGGGAGAGTTTAGCTGATGCGGTTAACACAATTAAGTCTGCACATTGCACTGTGGATTAAAAAGAAATAGTGTGATTTATATGTGTAAAATGTTGTAGTATCCTTAACAGTCTCAGTGGCGCAGCTTGTAAAACAAATGATAACATGTTTTGACATGTTCAAGCATGAACTATGTTCGAATCCAGCATCTAATGAACTCATTCTTTTTCTTTTTTCCCTTGCTACATATCAGATTTTGCCTACTATTTATCACAAGAAAGACAAGTTGGAATCATTAATAAGTCTGTGCATCATATTTTATTTGCACATTTATTGAATGGAAATGTTTTTGATTCATGCATGCAAATTCATCCTCACATGGTGCCTTTATAGCAATGTGCGTGCAGTAGATCTCTCGCATTACATTGGGAAAACAGGCGACCGCTGCAAATTGCGCTTTAATGTTTGGCTGGTCAACTGTATGGTATGAAAACCTTTTATAACTGCTAGATGAACCCGTCTCATACAGCTGCCATTACAAGGCTCAAAGACACTTTGTAGAGAGGAATTTAACACAACTGCCTCTAGGAGTCGCCAATGGAAATAAAACAGACACGCACAAAAAAATGTGCGTACGCCAGCCATAAAGCTGGCGTGGAGCTGCACACATTCCCACGTTCAGTTCATCGTTAGTAAATCCAAACGTGAGCGATTCTGAGCGTGAAACCTGGCGTACACAAAGTTTTTGTGCGTACGCAGCGCTGATACATGAGGCCCCTGGAGACCAGTGACGAACATTAGAAATCTGCAAAATTGGCAGATATTGACACAAATTTGGAAACCTTTTTCTTTTTTCTCTTTCAGTTTCCCTGCGACACTTCTGCCAGATGGCTTTGGCGGGAGACCAACAACTTCCCCTGGAGAACATAATAATGAGGCGCTCGGAATTCTTTCTCTCTGTTCCAAGGACACCTGTTGAGACTCTACAGGCTTACACAAACTAAGGCCCCGTTTACACTAATATTTTAGTTTTAAAACACATAAAACGCATACGGTTATGCCATCCGTCCACACTACTTCTGAGTTTTCTGGCGCCAATAACAGAGCTTTTTTAAAACTATGAAGAGGCCAATTTCATTTAAAAATGCTGCTGCTCCTTAGTGTGGATGGGGGGAAAAGGAGACATCTTAAAATGGAGGTGAGGCTGCCGACATTCGCTGCCCCTGATTGGGGCTTTTTCACCAGTGTGGAACTGGATCGTTTATTACTCTCAGTATAGGTAGGCGGGTGTGTGACCAGCGCTCTCTAGTTGCAATACCAGATGGCTGGCATTAGCATCTCCACAACCCCTGTTCCCATCCCCTGTTGTAACGTTATGTCTGTCTATGTGTTTATGTGCTTGTTGCTGGGATTTTTCCCCTAATCTCAAACTGCCCTACTTCAAGGAT